CTCTGTGGTACTCCACAGGTAACCTGTGAGCATGAGGAAGATCTGTCTTTAACGTGAACAAACTGAATAATCAGATAGATAAGATTTAAACCAGTCTAGTGCTGTTCCTTTAATTCCAAAAAAATATTCAAGTCTTTCTAAAAGAATATTATGGTCAACTGTATCAAATGCAGCACTAAGATCCAACAGGACGAGCACAGATACAAGTCCATTATCTGACAGGCGCGGATTCAGGGGGGGGCGCGGGGGGCGCGCGCACCCCTCTTTGGGATATGGCAAGCCAATTGGGCCATTAATCGTCCGTACAATAATGCGCAGTTCCAACCCGTATTTTACGCGAGCGCGCGTTTTTTACGTCACCGCGCATTTCCAGCCAGAACGCGCGGTGACGTAAAAACCGCGCGCTCGCGTAAAATACGGGTTGGAACTGCGCGTTATTGTACGGACGATTATTGGCCCAATCGGCTTGCCATACCACAATGTCGTCGTTGCGAGCACGAGGAGACCTGGAAGATTTAAGGCCAAACAAGAAAACCAGACATCCATCTCTTTTTAGATTCTGGTCCAATCCAACAGAAGGGTAAGTAGAAACCAACTTTATCACTTTATTTTCTATAGGCTTATGTCTATAATCTAAATAACACAGATTGAAATGTTTATAGCCTATCTTGTTTTATATTCTTCAGTGGACCTGGCACAACTACAGAAAATGACCACAGCGTTGACCTGTATGAACGTTCAGATATTGGAGACACACAGATAAAAGGTATGATGATTGCTAGAAAATGTTGATAATGAGAAAACATTATCAACATTGTTGATTGTTGATAAACAAGTTGTTTAAAGTTGCAAAGTAATGCAATTGTAGGAATACGGCAAAGTTATGAAAATTGCAGTGTTTAATAAGTAATAAAAATAGTGTACAAATAACAAAAATAAGCAACATTAGTTGCCATTGACATGCATACAATAGTTATTTTGTAGTGTGTATTTTTGGGTCTAAACCTGTACCACATGTGTTGTACTGTTAAAAATAAGAATGGTATCCTTTATGAAAACATTACTAACTTTTCAATAAATGCTCTAAGCACATGCTTGGACTCTAAGGGAGTCTTGTTAACATTGTGATATGATAACTACAAATCTGGTGTTATTTGTTTTCAGTGCATTTAATATTTTACAATAAAAATACAATTTACTTTTAAGTATATTCAGTTTTGTGCACCTGGTGATATGTGTTCAGTGAATTTAATAATTTACGATAAAAACACAACAATAAATTGTTTTGTGGCTCCTCCTGAGATAACAAGGTTCACCTGATCACGAAAATTATTTTCTTTTCCAGATGAACAACAAGGACCGTGTTTCGATGTAAAGACAACTGAAGAGCCGGCGCTCAACCAAGCGGATTTGCCCCAAACAACTTACGACATAGGTTAGTAATAGTTGTATTTTTTTCAATGTCAAAACAACTAATTTTGTTTTTGTTTTACACGATTGACTTTTTTGCTTAATCTTGAAATCTTACATTTCATAATAATTATTTCATAATAAAGCAAGACTATACATACAAAATTGACAATGTAAATATCAATCTTATTACAGATATATCAAAGGCCAAGGACCGGATTAGTGAAATGGACGACTCTGGAAAATTCCAACTTCTTCAGACCAGAAAACCACCCAAATCTTTCAATTTCGCTGCCAGAGAATTTAAAGACAACCGAAGAGCCAGTGGGGTGACCAAAAGAACATGCCAGAAGGACTGGCTGGACAAGTATGACTTTTTATCATTTTTACATCATATAAAGATGATCTACCGTCAGGATCAACATTCAGGCAGGAAGTGAAGTTGTGGCACACAAAGTGGTCATCATCAGTGGAAAAACCCCGCTCTCTCCCTGAAATTCTAAAGATAACAAATATGAAGTGCTACCCATACATTTATATGATTCTTCACCTTCTGTCAGTCATTCCTGTTACCAGTGCTTCTGTGGAACGTGCTAACTCGGGTCTTAAAGCAGTGAAAACTTTGCTGAGGTCAACAACGGGACAGGAAAGGTTTGTGGCTTTGCTTTTGTATGTGCACAAGGACATTCAGTTAGACATCAACAAAATCATAGACATATTTGCCCAGAAGTTTGACATTTGTAAACCCATTATCATCATCATAAAGTTTGTAGTAGAGAACAATATTCTTTGTCTGGTTTAACTGTTTTTTTGTTTTTCAACAGTTTATCTTGTTAAAATATATTCAAAACTCCTTTGTCTTACTTGAACCATACTTGAACCCAAGTCCTTGGGTTTTTTTTAATTTCATTTTCTGTGTAAATATCATTTCTGGAAATAAAGAAACTCCTTGTTTGATTAATTGTTGATGAGGATCATTTTTTTCTTCAAACTACCTTTTAACCTTGTGCATGCTTTAAAAACAGATCCTTTTTTAATTACAATAATGTAATCATGCTAATTCTACTTAAGTTCATCCATTAAAATTATCAATTAAAACCCTTGGATGAATAATTAGGGTAGTGTGAAAGAGTGAAGATGGTATTGTTTGGTCTTTTAGCCTCACATTGTCTTGACCTTTGACCCCGTGACCCCATGACCCTTAGGTGCGCACCCCCCTTTGAAAAATCCTGGATCCGCCCCTGTCTGAGGCCATGAGAATATCATTAGTGACTTTCACCAGAGCTGTTTCAGTGCTATGATGAGCTCTAAAGCCAGAATGAAACTCTTCAAAAAGTTCATTATGGTGTAAGTGATCCCACACTTGTTTGGCAACTACTTTCTCAAGAATTTTAGATAAGAAAGGAAGATTGGATATAGGTCTATAATTGGCCAAGTCATCTGGGTCAAGAGACGGTTTTTTAAGCAGAGGTTTAATTACAGCAACCTTAAAAGCCTTAGGTACATATCCCTGTAACAGAGATAGATTAATCACATCTAAAATGGAGGAGGAGATCAAAGGGAATACCTCCTTAAATAACCTGGTTGGAACTGGATCTAACATACAAGTTGAAGGCTTATAGATGAAGACAATAATTTTGCTAATTCAGAAAGTTCAACTGGATCAAAGCAGTCTAAACCCAGTTCAGATTCCATGACTACCTCAGATGCTGCCCTACCCACCCTACTCCTCTATAAGCCCTGTAGATAGAGGAGTCCTAATGATGTTATTCTAATAAGATCAATCTTATTGATAAAGAATCCCATAAAATCATTGCTGCTAAGAGCAGGTGGAATGGACGGTTCAACAGAGCTATGGCTCTGGGTGAGTTTGGCAACTGTGTTAAAAAGAAATCTAGGATTATTCTTATTCTCCTCTATTAATGAGAAGTATGCTGCTCTTGCTTTACAAAGGCTCCTCTTATACAGCAGTAAACTATTTTTCCAGACTAGTTAGGATTCCTGTAGGCCTGTGGAGCGATATTTTTTCTCCAGTTTCCTAGCATTTTGCTACAAAGTGCGCAGCTCTGCATTAAACCAAGGAGCAAGCTTTCTATTTTTAACAGTTTTCATTTTCAAAGGGACTGCGTTGTCTAAGGCAGTACGCAGAGAACTAGCAACCCCATCAATAGCATCTAAGATAAAATGAATTGGTTTTATCAACTCAGATGTTTTTACTTTCAGGACAGAAACAGTTTCTGTTAAGAATCATGCATGAATGTCACATGATCAAAATAACCTCGACTAAGATAGACCTGCCTGTGATCAGGGATCTTGGCCTCAAGACAACTTATGGCTTCATGTGTGGAATTGGGTAAAAACTAACCTCATTATCTCTTTTAGATGTAGAATTACCTGCCATTCGGCTCCTTTTCTACCAAAAGCGGTCTGACAGTCAGAAAAATTAACTTACCTAAAATTCTTGAATTCACTTGAAAATGTTAATTTTAGGTTAATTTGCATTATTCATAAAATGTTCATACACACTGGGTTACATCAATTAAATAGTACTAAATAGTTCTGGAAACAAATACTTTTGGTATGTTGAATGGTAAGAAATCCTGTGACATTGAATCATTTCTTTGAGTGTGTTGAGGTTTGATTGATTGATTGACTTTATTGATCTCACAGTGGAGAAATTTACTCGTTCCATCAGCTCAAACAGTCAAAGGAGAAGAAGGAGACAAAAGAAGAAAAAGGTGCATGATGGGATATATACAGTATATACAGTGCGTCCACAAATGACAGCTTTAAAAAAAAAAAAAATTATAGAAGGATTATTATACAGGGTTATTGCACAGGGTGCTTCTGTGGTTATTTATATAGATGGATATTTATATAGTTATTGTACTGGGTGTCAGATATAGAGAAATCGGTTATTACACAGGGAATTAAATAGTAATTATTGTCTAATGCAGCAGTTATTGCAGTTGTAGTGTTGCATTGTAGAGTCTGGTTGCAAACAGGGTGTAAAATATGTCTATTAAGGTTAGCAGCAATAAAGTACAGCCCTGACTGGATAACACACCAAAATCAACATTGGTTGATTTGGTTTATTTCATATATTAGCATAAGTCATACTTAAAATGTATGAATTTAAATATTACATTTCATGATAATGAAAAACAGTTCTATTTTGGTATGTTTTTGTTGAGAAGTAGTCTGCTAAATGAATTGATTTAGATCTGATTGTGAAACGTCTTGCTGTCCAGCTAAACCACTAACAGTGAATCTGACCCCATAAAGCAGCGGTTGCTGGTTCGACTCCCGGTCCTGATCACCATTGCTGTCTCCTAACTCTATCGTTACCCACTTTCCTGTCTCCATACTTTCAAATAACACAATAAAGGCAACTAGAGCCTAAATATATATATATAAAACAATGTCACAATTCAGTTCTGTGGTCTGTGGTGTAATGGGGTGGATTGATCAACCATCCTGATCATGATGGTTGAGGATGTGTGCAAACAGCCCAGTGATGCCGCTGCAGACAGCTCTGTCTCTCCTTTAAAGGGTCCTGCCCCTTTAAGCACGCGCTGCGGCCCCTACTGCTCATGCTCAGGCTCCCAGTGCCGGACTTTTCCCTGCCAGGGGCCAGCTGCGGAGCGCTCACACCGCGCGAGAGGCGTCATGTCAGGCAGACCGTGGAGGTGTTTGTTAGGAGAGGAGGATGCTGCTGCTGATGGTGATTTCACCTCCTGGATGTTGATATTCTAACGGGATCATCATCCTGTTTACTTCCTGCCACCGGATCCTTTACCTCAGATCAAGTCTGGGAAGCAATAAAAAAGGATTTCTTTTCATCTTTACTCGCCGCTGGCTGCGGGGATGAATCTGTAGTGTTTTAAACTAAGTTTATTCTCATTTTTCAGTCAAACATGTCAGCCTGCAGGTAAAACCACTGCTCCCTTTTTAAACACCTTCCTCGCCGAGGTTACAGGTGGGTCACCTGAGCAGACCCTTCATCATGGATCCTCCGCAGCGGAGCGGATCATCACCATCCTCCGGGAGGTGGAGCATCCACCTGGGGATGCTGCTGATGCTGCTCCATCTGCTGCTCCACGCAGGGCATTCAGCGGCGCTGCGCTCCTGCCAGAAGAGCTGCTTTTCAGGGAGCTGCGTGAACGGCAGCTGCGTGTGTGAGCACGGCTGGGTGGGGGATGAGTGTCAGCACTGCCAGGGAAGGTTCAGGTAAGTTCCTCACTCTTTCTCACCGCTAATATAGGTGCCACACTTCAAACACTGTCCTCACCCCTGCTGGATGCCTGCTTATATCCTTTAACTATATAATAATACATCCCTGCATCCAAGCACTATACTTACACATACTTCATGATCACAACAAAACACTAAAGAATAACAGTCATAGATGAGGCCATCTATTTGCTTCAATTGGATTATAGATAAAAAGAAAACTATTTGTTTAAAAAAAAAATCTTATTACCTTATTTTTTACTTTTAATTTCCTATCATGTTGACCAATTTTTCCCATACCATCTCTGGATTTCTGGATTTTCTTATAATGCCATATGTTCCTCCTTCCTCATTATAGTTTGGCAGGTTTTTATAGTGTAAATAATAAACTGTCTTCAGACAGAAACAAGGGAATAAAAACAAGGAAGAAATGAAAACCAAGGAGGGGACAGCCAAGGAAAGATGTATGGATTAATTGGGGAATTGACTAATTCTCAATAGATGGAGTGACAGATCAACAGATGGATGGGTGGAAGGTGAGGAGGAATGGGCGAATAAATGGATGGAAGGAGCAATGAACAGATAGATGGAAGGACAAAGGAATGAGCAGATAAACAGCTTTAATTAGGGAGGAAGACATGGTTAGGGAAAGACCAAATGAAGGAGGAATTGACTTTTTCTGTTAAGCATTATTTTTAGGCTCTTGTGGCCTTTATTTTATTTTTTTAAAGATGGGATTAAAGAGAGGGGGAAGACATGCAGCAAAGGTCACCAGGGCAGGACACCTAGGCGTCTGAATTTGTTAGTAACGGTCAATAACTGTGAATATATCTGAGGTGAAACAGGACTTTTTCTCTGAAAATACAAGCTTAGAAGTTACCAAAACAAATTACAACTTTGCAGAACTACAGACACAAACCTAAGACCCTAAATGAAGCTTTTACACTCCTCACCAGTTGGTGGCGTAATGCATCTGAAACTTGTTTGGAATAAATGAGAATGAGAGGAAAAGGATGTCCCTAATGTCCCATGTATGTTGGAAAAGACAACAAGGAACGGAACAAAAACCCAGAAATATATTTATGTTTACTGACTTTACTTTGAAATTCAGATACCAACACATACATCTCTGTTGGCAGTTATCTTATAGGTCGCTCCAGACATTGTTTAGAAGATCATTGTGCTCTTAGTTCTCAAGTGCTTTGTAACAAAAACATACACAAACACAGAGACATCCCAGAACATGGTAATATACAAATTAAAATAAATTGAAGGTTATCTAACATACCCCCAAATTCAATTCAATTCAATTCAGTTTATTAATATAGCACCAATTCACAAACATGTCATCTCAAGGCACTTTACAGTTGAACCAGATCATCCAGTCAGATTGATTCAAAGTTTTCTATCTAAGGAAAACCAGTTGATTGGTTTTGAGACTCATTGACTCAAATAAAATCCCTCACACTAAGCATGCTTGTAGTGACAGTGGAGAGGAAATACTCCCTTTTAACAGGAAGAAACCTCCAGCAGAACCAGGATCAGTGTGAGCGGCAGTAAATCACCTATAAAGAAATAAACCCTGTGCTGCAGACAGTTTATCCTTTATTGATTGATTGATTGACTTTATTGATATCACGGTGGAGACATTTACTCGTTACATCGGTTCAAATAGTCAAAAAGAAGTAGATGCCAAAGGAAGAGAGGGTGCATGGGGTTTATGCAGTATGTACAGTGAGTATGCACTCCAAACACTGAACTCAAGCCACGGAACACTATAAAGCGTATGTGGTGCAGGCCTTGTCTTTCTTAACTATGGTCTAAGTCTTTTTTCTGTTTGGGTTTGAAGTTTTAACACATCACAGTTCTAGAGGAAAGAACCTCTCCTTTAATCAAACCATCAGTGAGGAGAATTTCCCCCTCAGACCAACCAGATTGATTTTAGATTTTAGGCAGTTAGAAAAAAAAATGGTTACACAATAGATCTCCTTGTGTTTCTTTTTTATCACTTTTCATAGATTATAACATTATGATGAATTGTTCTTTAAGGTGTGATTTGTAATGAATGAGTCAAGACATTTAGTTCTTTCTGTTCTTTAAAAAATAACTGCTGACTGGTTTAACTTTCCTGCCCAGCCTTGTTGACGTTCCCATATCTCACGAACAAAAGCGAAAAATATCAGATTCCTGCTCAGTTTTCCTCCTCAATAGAAAACCAGTTGTGGCCATCCAGGAAGAAAGCAAAGCTGGAGCAGAACATTTACACTTTCTCTCTAGCCGAGGGAGCAGCTCAGACAATTAAATCCTGTTCCCGCTCTCTCTCTCTCTCCCTCTGTCTGTGGCCTTGTTCACCCTCACATCCTCCAGGGAGGAAGAGGTTACCTTGTCACCCCACTTACAGCCTGCTCTGCAGAGACACACAGAAAGACATGGCAGCACTTCAGTCTGAGCTTTTCTCTCTGGAGGATTGCATTGATTTTTTTCTTAGTCCGTCTGATTGTTTCGATAGAGGCAGACAACAAATAACAGCTGTTAGGCTGAGCGACAGTCGATACAGGGATGCTTTTGTTAGTGTCCGTTAGTGTCCGTAAGTGTCCGTTGACTATGAGCACTTCTTAAACGTTTAAGAGTTCTCCAAAAGTGTATGAGGTACCGATTGATGATACAAAAAACAGAGAGAATTTGGTCCTTTAGCACCAACAGGAAGAGAGAAAGCAGACGTTAACTCTAAGCCCATTAGCAGTTTGGTGAAACAGTGGCGTAGGATGCAGGTCTGTCTGTTAGTCGCTGTGTCCTCTGGAGAGAATTTTTACCTGTATTGCCTGGTCAGAGGGTCAGGTGGTGCCGCTGTACAGCAGCCATGATTCTGTCAGTGAGTCCCAGGGCAGCTGTGGCTACAATATAGCTGGCCACCTTCAGCATGTAAATGTAAAAACTCTTTGAAATTTCTTGACTTGACAAGACAATATAATGGCTAATTAAAGCTTGACTGAAACAGAGCTGTTTTCAAAATGTTGTTGGGTGCTAGGATAATGCAGACTTTGGAGACGCCAAGCATGAACAGGGCTTAGGTTCAGGCCACATAACAGCCCTCATTGCTTAAAAAAATGTTTTCTCACCCATTAAGGTTTTTTTTTCCTTCAAAACACCCAAACAGTTTCTAAGTGCAGAGAGGCTTCAGTTAAAAGCAAAATTAATTCTCGTGAATTTTGCAAAAATCACAAACTGCCCATTATAGATTTTGCAATAAGCCACCAGATGCATTACCTTTAGATGCATTAAATGTTTTGGACCAATGAAATGTTGTGATGTTTGTGACATCAATGGGTAAACCAGAGGCGGATGGCTGAAGCTATACAAAGATGTCTGCGTCGGTTTTAGCTTGAATGCCCTCTATTCCTGAAATGTGAAAAAAGAGCAAAGGACGTGATCTTTGCCTTTGTGGATGGAAGATATTCGCTCATTCCTCCCGACCGGATTTGGTAAGAGTTTGGTTTATCAGGTAACTCCGCTAGTTGCGAAACAAATCAAGAATGTCACAGCTGCTTCTGCTAAAAATTCAAAATGGAAGACAAGTGGCACTTGGTGATTTACCCAATCAGCTAGAAGAATGTACTGAATGTCCCTCCCTTTTTCTAACGCTTTCTGCAGGAAAGGGTCGTATTTGAATGTGACTACATGGATCAAACAGACTCAATCTGTTTTATGCCAGGCTAGGACTTCGCCAATTATTTCACATCTTTATGATTATCCGTCCTCATAGCCTTACATAGACATCAATGTGTCAAACTTTACATGCTTTCATGTTCTGGTACCGAGAGATTACACTAAGTGAAGAAGGCAGATCCCAGAGTTGGTTTGAAGAAACAAGGCTGCTGGTGGATCATCTGTCGCCATGATGAGGAAAGGACAGAGGCAGTTATTTAAACATCTGCTAGCATTTAGCTGCTGCTAACCTTCTGATGGTGTTTTCCTGTTACCTGGTGTGGTTGATAAAGGTTCATTCTCAGCTCTAGGAGCTTTCTGGCTGTTTGGCCTTCGTGTTATTTAAAACACACAATAGGCTCATTTAATGCTGGATTAATCCTGGATTATTTTTTCTTAAAAACTATAAATGAAACAAGAACGTAATTAAAAAACTTTCAGTCATGCTCCGTTTCAGACGTACCCAGCTGGGCGGCATCATTAATGACGTGATTCCCCTCCCACATCGAGGAAGAATAACTAAGTAGTTGCATCCAGCGTATCTTATTTTACTCAACAGGTAAATAATCTATCATTAATCTGAACTATTCAGTTAATAAACCTTTCTTTATAAACTGGGTCTCGCTATCAGAGGCCTTCTCCCTCTCTCCTCTTTCTCCTTCCTTTCTCTTCCTTTTTCAAACCCAGACTTTGGGACGCTGCATTTTTCAGCCGCAGACGTTTTTACCGCCCTGCTGCTTATTCACACATTTTCGAGTTCATTTGTTTCTTTCGTTCTCACCACTTCAAATGACGGGCATGTGGCGTTTAAGCCCCGGTACGAGCGAACTGCCGGTGACAGACGGGGAGACCTGATGCGATGCAGGACCTGAGGACCAAACCATTTATTGCAGGTTCAGGTGGGGGCGTGTCAATAAATGAATGCTTTGTTTCACTGTTTGCTGCTGAAAAATGAGGGAGAACATGAAAATGATTGATTTTACTGCTGCATTTTCTCTTTCGGGCCCCGTCAGTCAGGAGCTTTGGAATCTTCCTAACTAAAGGAAATGTGTTGGAGGAATTGGGCCAAAGATAATTAGTACTTCTGATTAACAAACAAATCCCCACCAAACAGCAAGATCCACCTCTTCATTTCTCAAGGTTGTACTTAAGATATTTTAAATTCAGCCAATAGAAGAACAGAAACCTTGCAGCTTGGATGGCTCTTTCTTTCTAAGGGACCTCCAACCACTGTGCCTCAGTCAGCTGGATCCCAAGCTGGAGAGCAGAGAGGAATGTACTTCAATATGAGG